ACAGCACTCCCAACATCCGAGTTTGCTTTTTAAGTAGAAGTGCCGGTTAGTCCAGAACAAGAGAAACACAACCTCCCTGATCAGATGGACTAAAGTCTTTCCATCTTTCCTGGATTCAGCTTCACTCTGTTCCCCTGGAGCTAATTCATTGCTGACCTCAAACACACGTTCAGAACTTCTTGTACTTCACCATATGAAAAGTAGAAATATAACTGTGTGTAAAGCGAATCCCCATGACTGGGTGAGCTCCCGTTGCTCGGTCCCTGCTCCTGTCAACCTAGCAATTCGAAAGCACATCAAAGTGCAAGTAGATAAATAGGTACCACTCCGGCGGGAAGGTAAACGGCGTTTCCGTGCACTGCTCTGGTTCGCCAGAAGGCTTAGTCATGCTGGCCACATGACCCGGAAGCTGTACGCCGGCTCCCATGGCCAATAAAGCGAGATGAGCGCCACAACCCCAGAGTTGGCCATGACTGGACCTAATGGTCAGGAGTCCCTTTACCTTTACCTTTAAAGGAGGCTTTTGGTGGCACCTTACCCTGAACCACAAGATAATCTTTCCCAGCAGTTTCATGTAGATGTTAAATAGCATATAGGACAAAGGTAGAGCCCCGGAGGAACACCACAGCAGAAAGATCATGGTTCAGAGCAAAAGCTCCACAGCACCACTAGATAGGTCTAGAATTGCTGCAGCATCATGCCCCTAGTTCCTATACCTGGCAGGTGATCCAAATGGCTATAATGGCTGATGCCATCGAAAGTCACAGAGAGATCCAGTAAAAATAACATTCCATTTGTCAGTCTCCTGGTATACATCATCTGTCAGGGTGACCAAAGTGGTATCAGTTCTAAACCTGGAGGAGATGTCAGTCTGAAGCAGAACTAGATAATAAATAACAATGACTATTGTATTTTAATATTTTGTTGGAAGCTGCCCAGAGTGGTTGGGGAAACCCAGCCAGATGAGCGGGGTATAAATAATAAATTGTTGTTGTTGTTGTTGTTGTTGTTGTTGTTGTTGTTGTTAGGAATTCAGCTGCAACCACCCACTTAAGAACCTTGCTCCAAAAGGGGAACTTTGTGACCTTCAGTTCAGTGTTAAATATGCATCTCCTGGACCCAGCTTGTTGCCCCTAGTTTACATGACTTTGAAGTCATGAGTCAAGCAAACATGTGGTCAGCCAAACCTCTCCAAGGATTCTGTCCACATCCTCTGGCTGCAACAAAGGCAATCACAGACTAGACAAACTAGCGATCAGATAAACAAAAAAAGGACTAAACAGGTTCTGGACACATTTATGCGCAAATACAGTGGTGCCTCGCAAGACGAAATTAATCCGTTCCGCGAGAGTCTTCGTCTAGCGGTTTTTTCGTCTTGCGAAGCAACCCTATTAGCGGCTTAACGGATTAGCGCTATTAGCGGTTTAGCGGCTATTAAAGGCTTAAAGGCTTAGCAGATTAGCTGCTAAAAGGCTATTAAAGGCTATTAAAGGCTTAGCAGATTAGATAAAGGGGGGGGGGGAAAGCGAAAAAAAAATCTCAAGACTTGCAAGACATTTTCGTCTTGCGAAGCAAGCCCATAGGGAAATTCGTCCTGCGAAGCAACTCAAAAACGGAAAACCCTTTCGTCTAGCGGGTTTTCCGTCTTGCGAGGCATTCGTCTTGCGGGGCACCACTGTATTAATTAGAGCAAACAACACCCAACAGTAATGTGTATCGCCCTGATAACTACAGTCACTGCAGCATGAGATAATAAATTAGTACTTTCCATTCTAAAGCCATTCACACAATACTTCTTCACATGCACAAATTGTTATATTTATAGCACAAGCCAATTCCTCCTAGGGTTATGACAAGAATTAAGTGTGCAATGCCTGTAAATGCATTGCAAATAATTAAGACCCTTTGCCAGTACTAAGCATAATTGTTACAATACTTATTAGAAGACATGAAGCTGTTCATTATAATGTTTACTGGTTTAGTAGATCCATAAGTTCCAATAGCTCTCAAAAGTCAAAACACAGTTGGAGATAGTCAGTGCATAGCATATTACATACACAGTTTAATCCAGTGCTATCCTCACATGGTGCTTGGAACACACAGCCTTTTTAGTAGTTAAATGGAGCTGTTGCACAATCTTCCTAGGAAAGCTTATCAGGTTCTCCCTGATGAATGAGTACTGATTTATTGTCCAAACATAGGTAATGAGAGAGAGAGAGAGAGAGAGAGAGAGAGAGAGAGAGACCATTAGAAGTGGCAGGTGTTCTTATTATAATCAACTACACACATGCCCATAGCAGCTTGTCACAATTGGATTAGTATTAAACATGCTACAAAAATCTTTTTGTATAACTTTAAGTCAAGTTATACAAGTTATCTTAACTTAATTCTAATCGGAAATAAATTGCTCTTGTTTTGCTGCCAGCTCCAGTTTCTGTAGTAGTGAATTTAATTGTCAATGCTTTAGCATTTTCTCACTGTACACCACTAGAGGTATTTTAATAGAAAGGTGAATACTGTAATAATAATAACAACAATGGGGAACAGTTATTTGATGGGAATTCTCCTTTGCATCTGAATCCAGAGGCATATAGCCATTTACCACCGACTGCAAATGCAGGTAGTGATCTGCCTCTCTCTTGCTTGCTGTTTCCTTAACGTCTCACTTTACAGCAGCATCTTTCAATAGTTATGGTCCACTTAGATCCCTTTTGTTCAATGTGCTGCAAGGAACAAGGTGAGTCTGCTCACATAGAATTGTAGAACTGTAGAGTTGGAAGGGACCCTGAGAATCATCTAGTCCAACCCCCTGAAATTCAGGAATACTCAGCTGTCCCACATGGGGATTGAACCTGCAACCTTGGTGTTATAAGCACCATGCTCTAACCCACTGAGCCATCCAGGCAGAGACTCACATGGAATAGCTGTTCTGGGCCTGCCATGCCCATGTTTTACCTCTTTAGCTATACTGGGCAAGAGCATTAATTTTGCAGCCACTTATAATTCATGCTGATGGTTCCTTAATGTCTTTGTGTGTTGCTCTCTGTCCTTGCCTAGCTACTCCAGTTTTATAAAGACCCGACACTTAAACAACCCTTCATTTCCCAAACAGTATGATAGAGCTCCCTAGGTTCTTCTTCTTCTTTAATATCTGTTCAACAAAAGCTACAGCACTCCTCTAAAGATCTCAAGCATGGAAGGTATTCTCTCTGAACTTACACCCCTGTACCTTTTTCTACAGCTGCATGAACTCAGTGCTTCAATTATAGAACATACGCACATTGTTGAGCAACAAAGTCAACAACTTGCATACCTTTATCTCTGGGCCAACAGCATTTGTTTGGCCATAAATTCAGAGGTGGTATAGCTGTCAATTGTCACTCACACAGCTCTACTGTACTAGAAAAATATATGCTTTGAGGATCCATTTTGTTCAAAGTGGGCTATTTTAAACATAGGGATTCAATTCCACAGAGGAAAAGCTTGCAAAATTAGAGGTCCCAGTAATAACTGGCACACTTTTGGTTCCTGGAAGAATAAAAACACAATGAAGCATTGAAAAACACAGTTCAGGCCATGTCTATTATTCATAGAATATTTTTAGTGCCAGTAAAATGGAAGTTTTTCTAGTAAAATACGAGTCAATGCTCATAAGCCTCTTTCTAAGCAACACTATGAAAAACATAGCAATCAATTGAAAACATTCAAGTGGTCTTCCTCCGAGGGTCTTCTGCTGGTTCCCTCACTGCGAGAAGCAATGTTACAGGGAACCAGGCAGAGGGCCTTCTCAGTTTTTAATGCTTGATGTTTTACAATGTTTTTATACGTGCAGTAAGCCACTTAGAGTGGCTGGGAAAACCCAGCCAGATGGGCAGAGTATAAATAATAAAATTATTATTAGTAAATTAACCTTCAAATATAACTTCCTTGAATTACAATCTACAACTACTGAATAGATAGTTATTTCAAATATATGCATTCTGGGGACACGCTGGTAAAATTCCATATTGCCCTGCATTAAGCGTTGTCCCATTGGAATATAAAGATAATCTAATAGTAAAGATCTTGCACATTTAAAGTTTTAACGAACTGTTTTTGCTAATACTGCCATTTCATGAAATAGGTGTCCATAGAGTGACTTGATTTATAAACTTTTCATATCTTTGTTAAAAAGGGTATATAATTTTTGTATGTGTACTGATGAAACGGTTTCATGGATTGCAAGAGAAATAAAGTGCCAATTGTCATCTTAATCTTGATGAGACACATTTCCGTATATATTGAACTTTTCTTCTGAATGTGCTATTTTGTGTGATAAGATGCAGTTTCTACCAAGAAGTGTTTGACATGCTGCATGGAGACAAATGCATGTTTCTCACCATGCACAACATGATGGGGAGCCATGCCCAGTGTCCTTGACTAAGCGTGGAAATGTAATGTGAGCATTCAGACATGCTTAGGATTTCAGCATGAATGTGTTTAAACTTTAAGTGTGCATAACAGACATATTTCTTATGAGCATGGTGGCTACTATAATAATCAAAACTGTTACATGCCTAGGACTTACTCCATGCTTATTCATTTGATAGGCTGGTTTTAGTCTCTGCCAGGATGCCAAAGGAATGAAGCAGAGGCAAAAGTGATGAAAGGATCAGCCTATTCCTTGAGCTTTCCAAGTCCATCCAGAATGCTAATGAGGGAAGGAATTAACTATGCACAGAACCAAGGAGACAATCTCTTTCTCAGATGCATACTGTATTTTCTTCCTCTGTGCACAGCACAGGTTGCCACCTACTATAGAAGCAGGAAAGCATTCTGACAGAATTTTTAAAATGTTACCGTATTTGGTTTTCTACTAAATAAGATTTCCTGTATTAATAATAAAAGCATAGACCAATTTTTTGTGCTAGGAAGGATGGTAGCTCAGTGGTAGAGAGCATGTTTTATATGCAGAGTGTCTCAGGTTTAATCCCTGCCATCTCCAGGTAGAATTTATAACAGCTGGGATAGCTTAGTTGGTAGAGCATGAGACTCCTACTCTCAGGGTTGTGGGTTTGAGCCCCACATTGGGCAAAAGAGTCCAACATTGCAGGGGGTTGGACTGGATGTGCCTCCTGATCCCTTCCAATTCTACAATTCTATGAATCTGTGACTGAGAATGTTCCCTGTCTGAAACCCTGGAAAGTTGCCGCTAATCAGAGGCAATACCAAACTAGATGGACCAATGACCAGACTCGGTACAAAGCAACTTCCTGTGTTCCTGTTATGTACTGAAGTTCTCACCCTGGGCCAGCAGGGGGATACTGTAGATAGTTCAGGTCCACATATGCAAATAAGGGATTAAAAGTGACATTCAGTGATTGGATAGTTACAGAAAGTTGTTACAGTTACGTTGTACTGGAGCTCTATATAAGCAGGCTGGCTGAACCCTTCAGTTCAGTTCTGTTCTGACCTGCGAATAAACAAGAGCCGTTTGGAAGATCGCTGTGTCGTCTGATATGTTCACCCAAAACTTAACAGTTCCCATGTAATATCACTTACTATATTAAGTTGCAACAGTTTGTTCAATTTACCCACCTTTTCTCCAAAGACTCTCAGGCTGGCATACATGGTTTTTCTCCCTTTTCTCCTCACAGCATCTCTGTGAGATAGGTTAAGGTGAAAGATGGTGACTGGCTTTTAACCCCATCAGCATTTAAGCATCATGGCTGAGTGAGAATCAGATCAAATCTTCGAGTTGTAGTCTGTCCCTCTAGCCCAGCCTTACCCAACCAACATTCTCTCCAGATGTTTTGGACTTCAACTCCCAGCAGCCCCAGCCAGCATGGCAAATGGCCAGGGATCGTGCAAGTTGTATTCCCCCTTCTCAATGTCACAGTTGCACTTATGGTTCTACAGGACCTGATTAATGAGCATTCATCTTGGTTTGTTAGAGGGGAGGTTAGACACTGCAGCAAGCAAAGGCTATCCCACACTTTCCAATGCACTTTCCCATGATGTGCTTTATTGCAAAATCAATAAATCAATAAATATTGGGTTTAAGCTTCAACTGTGCAATCTGAGGTTGCCAGTATGAGATTGAATCCAACCAGAAAACGGTCTGGAATTGCTGCGAAATTTTAAATATCAAATAATCAGCTCCCCCTTGTGGCAGAAAAAGCACTGCAAGAAATTTTAACATTCTGACATACAGTAAAACGAGGAAAGAGAAGATGTGTTTTGAACAGCCTTGAAGGTTTTCATCTGCATGAAATTGCCGTATGGGATCAGGGCAGCCTCCATCTAGACAAGCATTTCTCTCTTTTCTTTTCTTTTCAAAATTTTATTTATACCCCGTCCTCCCCGGCCAAGGCAGCTAACAACCAATAATAAAAACAAGTAGATTAAAATACAACTTAAAAACAAGATTAAAATGCAACATTAAAACATTAAAATGCAGCCTCTTCACAGGAGGAGAAAGGAAAAAAGAAAGAGGGGGAGGGAATCAAATTGATTCCAAGCCAAAGGCCAGGCGGAACAACTCTGTCTTACAGGCCCTGCGGAAAGAAATCAGATCCCGCAGGGCCCTGGTCTCATGAGCTAGAGCGTTCCACCAGGCCGGAGCCAGTGTTGAAAAGGCTCTGGCTCTGGTTGAGGCTAATCTAACTTCCTTAGGGCCTGGGACCTCTAGGGTGTTGCTATTTATGGACCTTAAGGTCTTCCGTGGGGTATACCAGGGGAGACGGTCCAGTAGGTACGAGGGTCCTACTCCTGGCTTGTAACCCCTGGAAGGGTTGCCCACAAGGAAATGTCGCCTTGAAGTTGTCAACTGTTGATTGGCATCTTCAAGGCCCCTGCACATCTCACTTCTTAGGGTTCTTTACCTTAAAACCCTTCAGAGAGAGAGGACTCCTTGAAAAAGAAAGCTGTGCTTTGTATGGTAGGGCCCACAGCCATCCTATACTAGTTGCAAGAACCTAGAGACACCTCGCTGGGCTGCTCCTTCTCTTGACTATACCATGATTCCGTCCAGTAAGGGAATATAGGCAATTAAATTGTGTTTCTGCCATACGTAGACCATAGCTTTGTACACATTACCAGCTTAAAACACAGCTAAGTAGTTCCTTATCTCAGTTTGGGTCACATAGGGTTTTGGAGAGAAAAAACACATAAGGATCTACAGTATAGATTTGGATGGCAGATGGTGTCATGCATACACTGGATGCAGAGGAATGGGAGTGCAGACACAGCCCATGTTTGGTGTGCATTTAAATGCTGCACAAGAGAAATTGGAAAGTAGGTCTAAAAGGAACCAATGTGGTGCAGTGGTTAGAGCGCCAGACTAGGACCTGGGAAACAAGGGTTCAAATCCCCTTTCAGCCATGAAACTCACTGGGTGACTTGGGGCCAGTCACTGCCTCTCAGTCAACCTACCTCACAGGTTTCTTGTGAGGATTAAATGAGGAGGGGGAGAACCATATACCTCACCTTGAACTCCTTGGAGAAATACTGGGATATAGTAATAATAATAATAATTTATACCCCACTCATCTGGTTGGGTTTCCCCAGCCACTCTGGCCAGCTCCCAACAGAATATTAAAAACACGATAAAACATCAACATTAAAAAGTTCCCTAAGCAGGGCTGCTTTCAGATGTCTTTTAAAAGTCAGATAGTTGTTTATTTCCTTGACATCTGGTGGGAGGGCGTTCCACAGGGCGGGTGCCACTACCAAGAAGGCCCTCTGCCTGGTTCCCTGTATCTTCACAATGAGGGAACCTCCAGAAGGCCCTTAGAGCTGGGCCTCAGTGTCCAGGCTGAACGATGGGGGTGGAGATGCTCCTTCAGGTATACTGGGCTGAGGCTGCTTGCAATAAATAGTTGCAATAAATAAAATATAATAAAATAATAATAATATTGTGGGATTTTATATATGTTGGAACTCACCCAGAGTGACTCGAGCAACCCAGCTAGATGGATAGGGTATTATTATTATTATTATTTGCTCTAAAACAGTAAATTAAAATCATAATTTACAATCATCCTTTTGTCACAGGCACTCTTATTTGAGAAGAACACTTACCATAGCTGAAAACACCAGAAGCTATTTTTGTATTCCATGAATGCCACCACCCTAGTGTGACAAATATTATCCGGTAGGGTGTCATTGCCACCTACACACAAAGGGTAAGGAGAACGCAAACGCATGTCACTTAGGTGTGAGCAGGCTGGGTTTGTGTGTCTGCTGTAAAGGGCAGCGGTGATTTAATATTGATGGGGGTTTCGTGAACTGCAGACAATACAAGCAGCTATTTTTGTTTGTTGACAAACGGTGATTCCTGGATTACTGTTGCCAAGTTGCTAATTAATAGATTTTATGTGACGAAGAGAAAAAAAACAAACACACTGACAGCAGGCATGCTCCGATATTACCTCACTGCCACAATGGTGCATTCCTTTTGCCAAGATATATGGACTCAGAAATATTTATATTTGAGGCAGTGAATAGATATTAAAAGAATCAACAAGGAACTCTGCCCGCATCTTGTTTCATGAAGAAACACATGTGCGCATTTACATTCGTACGCATACATCCACAAAACACCCATGAGGGCTGGGCTGCTTATCTCTGCATAAACTCAGTGGATACCTTGATTTAGATGTGATATTCAGGCATAGATCAAGTGGGGAAGAAGGCAAACGGGAGCAAGTGTCCCAGGTGGCAGGTTAGGGGGGCAGTAAACAGCAGCCTGCCCTGCCCCTGATGGCGATGTGGAAGTGCCATGGGAGACAGAGGAGAAAGGCTGGACTGCTGCGGCACATCCCCAGTGACTAGTGCTCCTTGCCCCAGCTGCTTCCCTCCATCCATCTGTGCCCCTTGAGGTCCCATCCAGGACTGACCCTCCTCACAGACAAGGCTGGATTTAGGTTTGATGAGGCCCTAAGCTCATAGCTGTCAACTTTTCCCTTTTCTTGTGAGGAATCCTATTCGGAATAAGGGAATTTCCCTTTTAAAAAAAGGAAAGCGTTGACAGCTATGCCTAAGCTACAGAAGGTAATGGGGCCCTTTATATGTCCAGCTGTCCTTTGTCAACAACAAATTGTCGCTGTTTTTTGTGTTGAATATATGCTGTATGGTAATTTATGGACCTAATAGGTATCTAAAGCCATTTGCACATGCAGAATGTGGGCACCCTATATATAGAAATGAGCAAACCAGTGATATTTTAGGGAGCAGGCTAGCAGGAAGGGTCCATTACTTACATCCTAGGAGCCTACACAACACAAAACACTGTTACTGTATGCAGGTTTTATTTTATTTGTTTTTTATCTTATGTTTTGGAAATGTATATCCAGTTTTCTTTGCCTTTAATTTTTTTGGGGGGGGGCCCAATAGAGTGGAGCCCTAAGCTATAGCTTGTTTAGCTTATATGTTTAGCTTGTTTAGCTTATATGCTCAAAGAAATAATTGTTGTTTAGTCATTTAGTCGTGTCCGACTCCATGGACCAGAGCACGCCAGGCACTCCTGTCTTCCACTGCCTCCCGCAGTTTGGTCAAACTCATGCTGGTAGCTTCGAGAACACTGTCCAACCATCTCGTCCTCAGTCGTCCCCTTCTCCGTGTGCCCTCCATCTTTCCCAACATCAGGGTCTTTTCCAGGGAGTCTTCTCTTCTCATGAGGTGGCCAAAGTATTGGAGTCTCAGCTTCACGATCTGTCCTTCCAATGAGCACTCAGGGCTGATATCCTTAAGAATGGATAGCTTTGATCTTCTTGCAGTCCTTGGGACTCTCAAGAGTCTCCTCCAGCACCATAATTCAAAAGCATCTATTCTTCGGCAATCAGCCTTCTTGATGGTCCAGCTCTCACTTCCATACATCACTACTGGGAAAACCATAGCTTTAATTATACGGACCTTTGTTGGCAAGGTGATATCTCTGCTTTTTCAGATGCTGTAATAAGAGGGCACAAATGGGGGTGGACAGACCCGAGAGGAAAGAGGTGGGAGCGTTTGTGCCAGGGAGGGCAGTTGTGTGCCCAGGAGTTTGGGTTGGGGTCAGGATCAGACTTTAAACAACTCACAGACCACAGTCA